TTTCTTAAGGTTACATTTCCTAGCCAAAATCCTGTGTGCTTTTTTAAGTGGTAATTGTCACAATTCTTCACTCGTCATTGTTGTCTGCTCAAAGTTAGGCTAATTTTTATAATTTCATTCCAAAGTTCCGGAAAGGTGTCTAGTATGGCCAAATGGAACAATTTTCGGACTATATTGTGATATTTTCAAAATCTCCTAACCTGCTGTTTTGCTTTGAAAAAATCATTTTAGAGGTCTTAATTTTTGGCAAAGTCATGAAGCATGCAACTGCTGCACCAAAAACATAGACGCTTTACTTGATTGCTGATAAACACTATTTAGGCAACATAATCAAGTTTAGTTTGCTTCGAAAAATCAGCTTTTTGGGATTTTGTAACTTTGTGTGGTAGACGTAATCAAAAACCGTGGTTTCTCCTAAATAAATACTTATTTAGGACTCTATACGCGTAGCCTAGGTGATCTAAAATAAGTGCAATGTACAATGACTTGCTCTACATAGTTGGCGCACTATGAAAATGGCGGGAGAAAAATTTTTAATTCAGGAAAGATTTGGCGTTACTCTTGAGCTACTCAAAAAGCCATGGTGATAACATCGAATACAGGGTAGCTCAGGGAGCAACTACAGCTGTAAGAAATAGGAAATCTGAATCAAGTGATACCTAGATCGTTCATGGATTGGTGTTTGTGGGCTTTGGTGAGCGATGAAAAAAACTGACAAAACTTTCGGGACAACCTGATATAACGCATTGAAGAAGGAACGCTGAACCTAAATCTGCCTTCATTATCTGCTGGGTTATGAGAGATTTTGAAAGCAAAAATTGAATGTGCAGTCAAGATATTCACATGACGTTTATTCTAAAGCTTATGGAGGAGTGACAAATGCCGAGTCTATGCAAATATTTTCAATCAAGCCACATCCGCGACGTTGCCTCATTTGGTTGCAAGAAAATAACTATTAATTTTACGGCAATATAATCAAATTTTTGCTCTTATGGATCCCCATATCTTTTCGCTTAAAAAACTGCAGCAGATAGGGTAAGGAGACTTGATACCAGAGTTTCCACTATATAAGTCATATAAATAAGTCATTGATATATATAAGTCATTGAAATCCGCTTGGTTGACCTTTCTTCAAGTGTGAGTGCGTGTTCTACAACCATCAAAACCTCAGGAACTTTCCCTTTGATGTTTTCTCTCTGCATTTTTGTTTTACCTGTGCCGCCTTCAAGTACGACGAATAGAAGACTCAAAAACTACTGCGGATAAAGGTGGAAATTTAAGAGCGGTTTACCGCGGTTTCAAAGCCGCATAGTTCAAGAAGCACAGCGTTTATAACGAGGAAGATATACAATGAAGACAAGCGCGCAGCGCTTGCGCTCGCTAAACCAATAATGCTCAGGCTCAAGCATGGGGTGTGGCACAAACCCAGGAATCGTATCAGGGGTCAGATAGTAAAGGGGGTCGCAATGACGTGATACTGATGCCAGAGATAACATGATATGTGTTAACAGAGTCAAATAAGTCCACTGTGCAAAAGAGTTGAAGTAAGATCCGTTACCGCATAGGTACAGTAAGCATGAGAAAAAATAGCAGTTAAGATAATGAGCGTCATTCTCGTAATCATCATGTCAAACGACTCCTGTGGATCAAGCTTTAGCGAAGTCTGAGGTTCACAAATACTGGGTCACAAGACTGAAATGGATTTTTGAACACGATTACCTTTATTTTGAAGTAAGCTAACTGTCATTTTTTACACCTAATACAAAGCACTACTTCTCTGCCCACATGAGAAATCCCACCTCAAATAACCGCCAAAGAGGCCCGTAGTAAACCCCCCATCAAGGCATCTCTCTCGACGCGGACCGGAGTTGAGGTCATCGCGCCTCAGTCCAGCATACGGCGAGCTATTGATTTGGATGCGGATCACTGCCGAGGTATTGCCATCAAATGTGTACTTGAAAAAGAAGTACTCGAGCTGGTTTGGTCAAACGGGTAAGCGACTGGAATTACGCGCGCGCGGCCGTGGTTCGACTCCGTCTGCCAACTAGCTTTTTGATGCATCGCCGGGCAATCTTTGATAGCGGCCACTATGGCAATCGATGATGATCGCTATCGAGGACTTCGCCAAGCAAATACACGGATAAAACATAAACACAATTTGTGACGAAAATTTTATGAAAAAACGAAATGATAGTAGCGTGTATTCAGTGAAATGAATAAAAGAGTTCTCGTCTTGCACAGCCAGTGAGAAAAAAATCAATAAGATTTAAAAAAAAAGAGAAGAAGTTGTTTTTTTGTTTTTCTTGCCAAAATCAGCTGTTCATCGATCCTCTCCCTTTCGGACGCGGTTGTGCAATTTTGCGCCGATTTTTTCTGCATTTTTTGGCAAAGCTGTGTGTATCGTAAGTTTACTCATGAGCAACTTATGTTAGATGCAGTCAACTCTTGTCAGCGTATCCTCTTTTACACGCTATTTGCATTCCTCTGACATCCGTTCACGTTCAGTTCAACTCAATGTGAACGGATGTGGAACAGTTGACTGCAGCAGGTGGACAGATGGCCAACGATCAGTTGACTTGACCATCTTATAGCATGGGAAGGTGGACTGTCATCAGTTCACCTCACCTAAGCTTAACTGATGTGATAAGTTGAGTTCACCTCAACTGATCAAGCTTTACTACGGGCCAGAATTCAATAGCCGACCAAATTTTCGTTTCCTTCATTTTCGCTTTCAGTGGCTGTTTAGCAACCATTACCCCCAAAACAAAAAGAAAGATTGGGCTTCAATCACTCAAGTGAGATTTGAGAGGCGTGAGCTACGAAAATATTAGGTCTTTCCGGAAGTTCTTTCCGTTTTTCAACCTATCATAACAACTCATGGAACAAAGACGGACAAACGTTTCAGACACTATTCGACGCAACTTTTCTTCCTCCTTTTAACTGTCATGCTCATGTGCTGATCACTCTCATGGTCACTGAGAATCGCCAAAATTTCGGACCCGTGGTTTTTACCATGTCCAGCTTTGGCAATTTTTTACAATCTTCTATTTTGACATTTGCAAAAGCTTTGAGAAAGCATTCAGATAGAGTAATCAAAGTGCAATGTAATACAATTCTTCGGCATCTATAACTAGCCTTGAAAAATTTTTATAACTGTTTTTCTGATGCTATCAAATTCCACTTTTGGTAATGCCAAGAGCCATAGAACATAAGACGGCGCACAACTAAGGTGTCATTCGACGCAGCTTTTTCTCCTCTTTCTGATGTATGTTTTTTCTTCCCAATATGTAAGGTTTTTGGCGATGAAATTTCCACAATTCTTGATTTTGAACCCGCCTAAGAGTATACACGTGAAATGCGGAATCTTATGTTTCGAAGTAAACGTAAACGGTAACAGTTACTTTGCAAAACAGTGGACAACCATAATTAACTTTTAAAAGTTAAAAATTCCGAAATCTGTTGTCGGAGTATTTGTGTATTTTATGGATCGAAAAAGTGAAGACTTCTGAAAAAGCTACCTTGCAAAACACTGAGAAGCTAAACATTGCCAAAAAATTGCTTTGCATTGCATTTTGTTTACTCTATCTGACTGCTATAAAAGCTTCTCCAAGAGTTGAAAACGAAAATTGTGAAAAAAGCCAAAGTTGGAAATGGTAAAAACCATAGGTTCGAAACTATGGCGATATCTCGGCGACCTTAAAGGCAGCGACTCTGCAGATTTTCAACTTCGCGGATTTGGGGCTATTCCGGCCCCCTGACTCACGATCTCCCCTTAGCGCGAAAATGAGGAAAACCCCGTCTTTTGAAACCCCTCTGAGACGGGCGCAGACGAATTTCTCTGCCGTTAGAGACGCAGAGCAAGGAGGTAGGAAGCGCTAAAACAATTTTGCCCTACAAAACTACGAGTGACGGCGCTATTGCGGAGAACATACTCGTCCAAACAAGGTAGGGGAGCGAAAGGAAGAAGGGGAGCGGCGCTTGGTCCGCTCCCCTGGCTTGCAGAGTTCACATTTTCGGAGCGGAGTTGCTGTTTTGGTTCACTTGGAGGGCCTCCTATCCATCTGTGTCAAAATCTGAGGTAGGTCAATCTGCCGAGCCGCCTTTAAGAGCAATCGGCACACGAGTACATTTGAAAAGAGGGAGAAAAGCTGCGTCGGGTAGTGCTTAAAGCATTTCATATCTTCGTCCTACGTGTTTTTATGATAGGTTGAAAAAACGAAAGAACTTTCGGACCTAGTATATTGTCACCTTACTAGCAATATACGGTAGCGTAGATTCAGCACACTTTCCGTAACCCAATATTTGCTCTGAACATAGATTTGGAAAAACGACTGTATTTTTTTCTAGAAAAAACGGTTTGCGGGAAAACTTTTACTATGGAGAGAAGAAGTAGCGGTAGGAACGATATAAAACAAAGAGATGTTTGAATCTTCCAAAGGTAAGTGGATCGGGGGTTGCACAACCTCTCAAAAAAAAAGTGTGGCAGCCACACCTTTTGAAGAACTGTCACACATGGTCTTCAAAAAGTTTAATGAACGTTTTAAACATGGTTCGATGTCCCAGATTTCGTATAATTGCAGAAATGGTTTGAGCCTGATTCGTAATCTTTACCCTGTATAACAGTGCTGAAAGCGCAACCAAAGAAAGCAAAAAAGGTATAAACAAAATTTTGAATGGCTTCTAATTCCATATTCTGGTGTTGTTCGAGGTGGGATTTCCCACATGGGCGAAAGGAGGAGTGCTTTGTACGAGTGCAAAAAGAGTTGGCCAACTCATTTCTTAAACAAAGTCCATTATGTTTGAAAATGACCGTTTCTTGATTGGCAATCTAGTCTTACCTCCAGAACAGGATTGCGCAATAGATCTTGGTTAAAGTCACATCAGCAGTATAACTCAGTCTACGCCTACTTTGGGATCTGTTATAAGAGTTTCTTTCACCAAAACAAGCGAATTCCAGTCACTCATCTCTTCGATCACTATGTTAGTTTACAAATGCTCACCAACTACTTCTCCAGTATCCTTAGGTGTTTTGTACACGTAGTTTTCCACTTTTCCATCTGCATTCACTGAAATAATTCTCACTGAACCCTCACAGTTCATTGTTGCTGCTGAAGAATTTGCTGGCCAGCACTTCTCACTGGCACGGGATTCGGTATTCCTGGTGCCGTCACGAGTTATGCGTTGTACACACCCATTCTTGTGATAATATGGTTGTGGAGGATGTGATCGTACGGAGGCAAGGGGTCCACATTCAACTCGGGGTTGCTGTACCAACTCTGTTGGCTGACAATTCATACTGTACGGATACGGTTGAGAGTATTGTTTTGGTTGACAACGTCGTGAGGTCTGCGTCGGAAAAGCTTGTGGAGCTACAGGTTTACAGTTAACTGCAGGTGGCATAATGCGCTGGCCGCAATTTCTCCGCTGTGGTGCATAGGTACATGGCATCGGGGTTGCTCTAGGGGCGCAATTTCTACGCTGTATCTGCATCTCTGACAAGGGGGTTCCTCTGGAATCATGCTGCCGTAACTGTCGATATTGTTGTACTTGTTGTTGTTGTTGCTGTTCCTGCTGCAGTTTCTGTCTCGTATACAAGTCGTTGTCTGGCCAGTTCTTTGGATAATCTTGTCGTCTTGATCTATCTACTTTCGTGTGCAATCTAGCTTCTATTCGGAAAGGAGGTGCTGCAAAAATAGATATTTGGGAGCTTGCACATAGTTTTATCGTAACCAGCTGAGTTAAGCTACATGAAAAAAGTTAGTTGACTGATTCACCATATACAAGCAGTTGAAAAGATGTTAGACTTGTAAACTAATAGGATCGACGGCTAATGATGTGTTTTTGCTTCGTCGACAACACCCTGCACGTCCGTGGCCATTTTTATTTGGACAAGTAAACCGAGTTTTGGTACAGAGGCTTTCATTTTGAGTGTCACGGTCAGCGCAGCTTGCGTCCTGGCAAGCGGACTTGCTTCGCGTAGGTTTTCCCCCATTTTCTCAGCCAGTGATGCCTAAACGCACGGTATTTCAAAATACCGTTTCTGCTGAGCCAAGCGATGCGATTCACGAGGACCCGAGCAGCGCCGACCGTGCACTTCGATTGAAAGACTGTAATCAAGGTTGATCTCTGACAGAGACGGTCGATGTAGCTTGCGCAGTGCGAACACCGCTTTCGAACAACTTTCGTCACTAAACCCGCACACGCCTCGCCAAGGGCGGCCACCTCTACCTAGGTCATACCCACGGTAGTCTAGAGACAGGACCTCAAAAGTGAAGGTTGTTTGAGTATCTGCTCCCTTAAAGAGCGAAAATTGTTTATAGAATAAGAGAAGAGAAGAATATGCAAAACAAATAGCAAATGCAAAAGAGACTTTCAACCGGGTAAAAAGCGGTTGCTGCAATAAGTTTGAAATCTTTCATTTGGAGGTGTTCCATATTGCAGACTTTCGCTCCAAAACCAGGAATGCCTGATTTAATCTTTGTGATTGTTTCAAATACAACCGTGTTTTGATATTGTGAACATCAAGAAGAAGATAAACAAGAAGAAACCACTTGTTGACACGCAAAATTTTGTTTTTACTAACAAGGGAGGTGTTTTCGGTCGAAGGACCTTTTATGAAATTGATACGACTATAAAGAGCATCAAACGCTGATTCCAAATATGTCTCCGTTATCTGCCGAGCGCCTCTAGACGTCGAGTTATGAATATTTTCTTGATGCGAAAAATGAACGCATAATCTAAGTAAAATAAAATTTTACGGTCTTCTCGGCGCTCAAATAGAGTAGTGTTAAGTATGAATGCTTAGGATAAAAGATTTTGTTTAAATAAAGTGCTTTGATAATCAACATTGGACCATTTGAGCAATTCTGACGGATATTGTCCTAAGTATGCATTTAATTTCTCAACTCAAAAAACGCTCATAACTCGACGTCTAGGGGCGCTCGGCAGATAACAAAGACAGATTCGGAATCAGTTTGATGCTCTTTATAGCCGTATCAATTTCATGTGAAAAGGCCACTTCGACCGAAAACACCTTCCTTGTAAGTCGAAATGCACGTCAAAGCTAATTTAGTCTTTTTTGTTTTCAGTTTGCGTCCTTCAAATTTTTACCCCGCATTGTTATTCTTACTTCCTGAGACGTTGTCTGGATTGTTGCGCTAATTATTCTGACCAATATCTACTCAAATTGAAAAAAAAATCGCTGCGAAATTGAAAGAAACTGAACTGAAAAAGAACAAGGTAAGGAAAGATGCACTTTTACGATTTTTTGCCATAATTACACCTAATTTCGCCTTACATCGCGATTTACATAGTAGCGCAGACTAGACATATTACCGTAACCCAGTATTTTCGCAGCGTCCATTTGCATAGGTAACGAAAAACGATTATCTTTCCCTAGAAGGAACGATTTCAAAAAATGGTTTTCATACCATGTAAAAAAGAAGGTGAGCAATAGCAACGATTAAAACGCAGAGATTTGGATGATTTGAAGGTAAGTTAATAGGGTGCGGCACAACCCCTTAAAAGCTGTGGCCGCCACAGCTTTTTGGGGGCCACACCCCATTAACTATATCAAAAAAACATTTTTATGGAACAGTATTTATATGAATCAATAGCCTAAATCTCGTTGATTTCACAGGAGTGATTTGAGCCAGATCTGTCTTCTTAGCTCTGAGTTATATTTGGTGAAAGCACAGCCATTAAAAGCGAAAAATAGGAAAAACAAGATCTTGCTTGGCTTCTAATTCCACAATATGGAGGTCGTTGAAACGGGATTTGTGAAATGGACAACGGCGGAGTAGTGCTTAGTCTCGAGTGCAAAAACAGATAGCTATCTCACCTTTCAAACAAATTTAATCATGTTGGAAAATGACACCTCACTTAGGTGGCCTAGTATCGAATTTTCAGAACTCGCACAAATTTTGTCTACAGGGGCTAATTGGCATGCTAATTATGGATATGTTGCCGTTATGTGACAGGCCCTTCAAGTAATGCTATCTTAGGTATATAATTTAGGGGGTCTTATTGAGACAGCAGTCAGGAGGGAGGGGGGTTGTAACCAGCGAGTGGGCCACACCACTTGCTTTACCCTGCTGATTATCCAGCCGATGCACAGCTCTCCTCTAGCAATTTAGGTGATGAAATCTACCATGTGCTTTGAAGATTAGGGATATGTAGGGCACTTAATTTGAAATTGGATCCGGATGGCGGAACATATAAGGGTGTCTCATAATTTTTTTACCGGTTTTTAGCCTAGACATAAGCATTTCTCGAGAATTGGGGCATCTACAAAGGGTACAAAAACATGGTCATACTTCTGTATGAGCTATGGATCATGTGTGTGGGAGGAGCGGAGGGGCGGAGTCTGCCATTTTACTCCATTCAATTTCTTCTTTATTTCTAACCGTGAAAAAAAAAAATCGGAAAGTGTATAATTAAATGTTTGATGTGTCAAGCATACGCTAGGATAAATGGAGAATTTTTAAGACTTTTTGGGATCTAGATACGATTTTTTACGACAAAGTTCGTTTTTGACTGCTATCATATTTCAGCTCAAAACTTGACGTGGAATACGAACTAGGCGCACTTTTGATAGCCAAGTTGTACAACTTGCTTTGCTCTGTCGAACGATTACTTAAGGTGATCAGTTGATAGGAAGATACAAAAAGACGACGGTTGTAATTAAAACGGTAAAAAAAATTATGAGACACCCTAATATTAAAATGTCCCGTAAATTTTCACATTTCTAACTTCTCTTCCAATAACTCATATTCTTCTTGTTCCTCAGAAAATTCTGCAATTGTTCGACAGAGCGGAGCAAGCTCTACATGATAGCACCCAAACATTCGCTCAAAGTTCGTTCTATCTAAATTTCGAAGCCGAATGAGAAGATTTAAACCCGAAAGTTCGAGAAAAAAGCAAAAACCTCCTACGGACTTCGCACTTGCTCAGGCATGTGCTCCCTGGATTTCTATTTATCTGTAATTTGCTTGTTTTTCGACACCTAGAACTCGAAAAGCATACATACACCAATATAAGCCAAAAATAAAAAAGGCCTCTTTTTCTGTTTTTTTGTGCTATTTAACGTCTCTCAAATATTACTCACTGTGGAAAGCCAAAAACTTATCGTTATATTAGGTGGGTCCGAAAGTTCGTGCAGTTTTTTAGACTTATTCTGAAATCGTTTAGAATGATGATAGGTAAATTATTTTGAAGTATCCGATGCAGAATTTCTTCCTTTTTCCAGCTGCTATGCTTACGTTTTGACTGCTTCGACGAGCGCTGAGATAAATGCCGAAAACTAGAACCCTTCATTTTTACCATGTCTAAATTTCGCTCCTTTTCAGAATTTTCATTTTGAACTTGCGAATGCTCTAATAACCACATGATAAGGCAAACCTTTGGGTGCTGTCTTGTGGAATGTTACCGCAAAACCTATCTAGATATAAGAAGAATATGAGTTATTGTGGGAGAAATGTAAAAACGATGGAAAAATTTGGGAGACTTTGGTACTATACGTCTTTACTGAAGTGGCAGATTTGTTCACCGCTAACAATAGATAAAACTCTTTCATTTTTTCAATAGAAAAATACAGGCGTAAACTACAGATCCAACGTTAAACGGTAGATCTATCGTTCGGTGAACTGCTCTTGTTATTTTTATGCGACTTGTAAGGACCACTACGACAGTGCATGTTTGTGCTAGACATTTGTAGATTCAAAGTTTCTTTGGGATCATAATCCAAGAATCACTTCTTAACAAATCTCCAGCGATTACAGTGAACACCACAATGTTTCAAAAGAAAATTCGTTTTTTGGCTGTAAGATTTACGACAATGAAACAAAAGGCGATTTTCCATATCTGTTGCTGCCCTTTCGATTTATGGCGCCACAGGATGTTCGCAGTATGTACAAAGATCTACGTAAACGAGATTGTGCGTGAGAAACTGGAAGAATAGAAATTTCAGACGATACAAGCATTACGGAATATGGTTTCCTCCCAAATCAGCAGCTCAAATGAATCACAAAAAATGGGCAAAACTCTTGAAAAAAAACACAAATCTGATATGAGTCATAATCGCACACTTTAAAGATGGTAACGATGAAAAGAAGACTGAAAAGATGTTCAGCACCTCTTTTCCGTACTCAAAAGAATCCATTTTGTCAAAAAGTGCAACTTAAGTCCTCTGTGATAATTCAGATAATTCACACGATAACCTACCTACTGCCTCAACTCCACGTGCGACCTTATCAGTCATACCGGCAACATCATTTTCTGCAATTAAATGAGTTTCTACTGGAAAACGTTCTATATGAGTGTAACTGAAAGATAGATACGTCCAACTTTAGTAAATTTCAAATCTCATCTATAAAGCTGAATGTTCGTTTAATTGTCTGTATGCTACCTGCAGGTATGTTCTAAATAATTCTATTTCTGAATCGATCCGGACTTTGCACACATACTCATCGGGAATTGCGACTAATAACAACTGTTTCAAAGAAAAGAATTAGTAGCTTATTGAAGACATAAAATAGAGCAAGAACAGTCTTTTTTCTGCGCTTTTGCCCGCAACTGCGAATCGTAAAAACACATAATAGAGTTCTTACCCCACCATTAGCATCTCATAGCACGCGCTTAATCGTTTAAGCGCAGTATATATCAAAGACACCAAATTAGATCTACTCATGACCCAAAAATGGGAGAACACTGATATGATTGGCTTTTTGAACAGGGCTGGGACGAACAGGTTTTTGATCGCCTGAACAGTCCAAGCCAAAGGTTCAGAAACTATGTGAACTCTTCGAATTTTATGCTAAAGTCGCCTGCACGAAATCGCCCGGGTTGTTGCAGGCCGAACGCGCGCGAGCGTGCCTGCAACGCGGCTGCCGAGTACGGGCGCTATGATGACTCATGCGCGCGAATGCCAACGTTAGCCCGCAAGAGACATGCGCGCGGATGCTCATTCCGGGCGCTTCCGTGCAATCAGCTATACCAACCCATTTCATTTGTGGCCTAGAAAGCATCATTTCGAAAACAGGTACCACAACACAAAGCATACTCGAAACTTTTCAAAACTACCTAACTATTTGAAACTAACTCAAACTATAACTAAACTAGTCCAAATTTGGTGCCCTGTGATCAACTATGCGCGTAGATATGTGTTAACTTTAGCATAACTTTGCATTTTGCGCGCTTGGGTGGATGAACACTTGCAGCAGCCAGTCATATACCAAATGTTGTGAAGCAGGTTAGCATGTATAATAGTCAAGCGTAAGCAACATGTTTCACAATATAGCTTTCGCTATTTGCCCTAAAAAAAGTCTTCTTGGCCGGTCGTAATTCCCCCGACCTGGCGGCATGATTCGTCGTCATGTCGCCGTCACCTTTACGTGAAGTCGGCGGGAACACCGACCTCAAGTCTCTGCCCTCCAAACCCTTTTCACCACGATCTTCCTGGTCGAGCAGGTCATTGTGACCTTAGAGAACCTTACTTGGCAATTGGAAATTCTAAAAACCCCCTAAACAAAATTGTTGGGGTAGGCAGGAAGTGCTGGCGGCAACTTCGCGAGTTGAACTGGCGGCATCCCGTCGATATTTTAGCACTGAGGGATGTCGTCAGGTCAGAGAGCACGAGCAATAGCGTGCTTATTTGAGAGATCAAGGTGCCACCACCCCGACGTGCGCCTACCACGTCGAGGTGGTGGCACCTTGCTGGCGGCGTCTGCAAGTTTGGGTAGTGCGGCAATATCATTCCAGTCAAGCATAAAAACCAAAAAATTCGTTTTCCAAAAAAAAAACCATCATTTTTTTATACGGGTTTCCTCGTTAAAATTGATGCTAATTATGTAGAAGGGATGTCTAGCAATCTTATAGAACGAAAAAGAACGTCATCTTCTATTTGCAAGTCCCCTAAATCTTGTTTGCAACGATTTTGACTGTCTCGTGCTCATATCACTCAGCTGTTCTTCCAGGTCATCGTCTATCGCGCGAAGTATTGATCGTGCCCTCTCACAGACGCCACTGACCTGTACGTTCCTGGCCACATGGTCGAGTGGTCAATGCGGCGGCGCTGGAAGTTGACGCACGCGGGTTCGAACGCGATCGGTGTCGCTGTTTTGCGGTTGTCTGAGTCATCAAAACTTCATGTGATTAGGGATTGCGGACCAAGACTATATAAGTTTAGCAAAACCTAAAAGCAATCCGCGAGATGCCGTCGGAGTTGGCAACTTCCCGCGATGTGTGCCAACTTGGCGGCATCTTTTATGCCGCCAAGTAGGGATTACTACTTACCCTACCCTTCAGTCACTTAATACATTTGTGCTGCCCCTGATTGGAGTTGGCACAGGGAGGGGAGAGGGGTCATGGTTAATAGGCTCCGGCCAAACATCGCTCAAAAGCTCCCAAAAGCGCACAATTTTCTTTAATTCTCTCGTCTCTCCTCATATGAAAAAGTAAAGAGACATTAGAGGAATTTGGGCGCTATGAGCGCTTTTGGGCCGTTCTAAACGCTTTTAAGCGAATTCTGGCCGGGGCCATACAATTTGATCCTATATATGAAGCTGAATGTGTGTTTGTCTGTATGTCTGTACGTATGTGCGGAATAGAAATTTTTATTTCTGAACCGATTTGGACCAAACTTGGCACACATACACTTCGCGGAGGGGAGCGTGTCATAGGCTACTTTTCGTTATCGATCGATATCAATTTTATCGATTTTTTTGCAGAGTTCACCCACGGGGCTGGGAGTTAACACAGGGGGGGGGGTAGTCGAGCATGCTGATTCCGAATACAATATTAATTTTCCGAATCATCGACTTTTATCGATTTTATCGATTTTTTGCAAAGTTTGGGCTACAGGGCTGGGAGTAGGCACAGGGGGGTAAGTGGGCATGATTTTGAAAACAACACAGGGAACGGGAAATGAAGTGTAGCAATGGGCACAGGGAAAGACTGTACAGGGATAAGGATGGGACTTCTATTACAGTGTTTTGACAGGGCCGAGCGGAGCCGGGTAAGCAAGCTATTTATTCATAATTGTCGATTACTCTTCTCTTATTGATTTTGTCGATTTATTGCGATATTTCAGCTATGAAGCTGGGAGTTGGCTCAGAGGTAAGTGATCATGCTGATTATGAAAGCTTAGTGGGGCAAGAAACTTGCATATAGAAATGAAACAGGGACAAGGAAATGACACACAGAATTGAAGAACGACGACCTTTTTCATCTTGTAGTGACATGTCCAGACGGAGCCGATTATTCTAGTTAGTACTCTATATTAGTAGGTTAGCGACTGTTTCACAAAAAAAGTTAGTTCCCTGCGACGCTTGTGCAAGCCGACTCAGAGGAGCGTAGGCTCATAAACAGCTTTTCGCCATTGTTGGAGAAGCGAAGCGGTACTTCAAAAGCTAACTTCGAAAAGAAACAAGTTGTAGAAGATCGTGAAAGTGAACAGAAAGTGATGATGTGTTCCTAGTAGGGCCCGGCGCGGATCGTCTAGAAGGCTGAACTTCGTTCTTGGAGCAAAAAGCAAAGGGATTGTCGTTTTTGCGGAATCGGGGCCGAGCACAAAGCATAGGCGCCATTTAGTCTAACGGAAGCTTTCCGGACAGGTTATCACACGATTGAGAGGCTCTATCATGTATGGCGAAAAGTGCGCGCGATTTGGAAGCAAGGCTAAAATAAACAAATTGCTTGTTTACAGTGCACACAGAATCATATGACACCAAAACTGAACCGTATATATAGAAAATTATTTGCGAAAGGCATGTATATATATTTGAAAACTTATGTGAAGTAATACCTCCTCCAAAATTAGTTCGTCTCCAGACGGCCACCAGACGATCTAACAAGGGTACGATACTCAATGTCCGTGGCCTTTTGGGACGAGATGTATACCATTACACTCGCCTTCGAACGCTGATTCCGAATCTGACTTCCGTTTCTGCTAATCATTTCTCTGAAGGAAGTTATGGAGAAATTTCGAGCCAACTTTATCCGTCCAAGGGTATGGTCACCAGAGCGGCCTCTACCGGCGCCATGTTATTGTCTAGTGGTTAGTGTGATAGGCTCATAACTTGATACAGGTGTAGGTTCAAATCCTTTTGTGTTTTTACTTTGCACTACCTCAATTAAAGTTGTTCGAGATTCACTCGAATTATAATCATTGGATACATTTTAACGCAAATAGTAAATTTTTTCCAAATTTCCACATTTTTTGAAGAGTAAGGGCGTTCAGTTAGCTCGAAGATGCGAAAGAAGGTTTATTGAGGCAATGCAAAACTGAAAAACACAAAAGGACTCGAACCTACACCTGCATCAACTCTAAGCCTATCGCGCTAACCACTAGACCACACCGCACCATCATTGTCGCCGCTTCGAACGTATTTCAGTGGACAGCCATAGCCCGCACAATTCTTTACAACATCTTTGAAGCGATTAGCAGAAACGGAAGTCAGATTCGGAATCAGTTTTCCAAGACGAATGTAATGGTATACAACTCATCTCAAAAAGCCACGGACACCGAGTATCGTTTCCTTGTAAGGTCGTCTGGAGCACATACTTCCGTCATTTCACATAAGTTTCGGATTTCTTTAGCATAGACGGATGCCCCGGTCAAGAATCTATCCTTGAGCATAGAGACACTTCCATATCGCGTCCTGTCCGCCGTTTTTACCCCTTTTTTTCGAAGATCGCCTTGTTAGATATCGCGCCCCCAGCGTCAACGTTTCTGCATCCTCCACCTTTGAGTTTTCACTTCCATTTCCAGCTTTTTTCAAATATTTGATGATTTCTTTCATTCTTCTTTCTTCTTCTTCTGCTCGTAATCTATCTTTATCTCTTCTGTGACCATGTAGGGCTCTAAGAAGCAAAATTCTGTGATTTTGTAATTTTTCTTTGAGAGTTTGACTTGAACTCAAAATTTTCAGCTCGAAGCAGGTAAATGATTTTGTCAAGGATCAAGTGAGTATGCGGGGATCCACGAACACTCGGAGGGTTGGAGGGGGGGGGGGGAGCAAGGGTCAAGGGACGTCGTAAAATTTTCAAAGTCAGGCGGGACTTCTTTTCAAAAAGCCTCGAAACGGACTCGTGCCGTTTCCTGGTTCCTACACGCACATTGTCGGCAGCTCCTGCAAACGTCTTTTTGTATGTCCGTCTGTCTGGCTGTAAGTGCGTATGTGCGGATTAGAAATTTTCATCTGACCGATTCAGACCAAACTTTGCACACATGCTTCGGGGCGGGTGGTGGGGTCATGAGCTATTTTCCGTTATCGACA